GTCGAGGGTGTGGTACGGAGGGAGTCCAGGGTGATTTCCCCGTCGCCCTTCATTGACCCGCCGCATCAGATTGGGAGGATATGGGGAGGCCTATCTGGGCCTGGTCTTCGCTTCCTTTCGCGGGGAATGCGGGGACGGAAGACGGAAGATGAGGCTCCCCTCTTCGCCTCCCCCCCCTTCTTCTCCTCTTCTCCCCTTCTCCCCTTTCTCTCTCCCTCCTCCCTGGTGGCGTGCCCTGCCCTGGTCTGTCGGCCCCCCTTGAAATGCCCTCCACTCACACATCCAAATCCAAGCGGCCGAGAGGCGCCGTCCATCTGCACTGCACTGCACTTGCAGCGGCCCTTCTGCCGCAAGGGGAATGAGGGGAAAGAAGGGGAAGGTCAAGGATGAAGCAACGGGGGCGAGGCGTTGATCGCAGGGAGCACGGATAGGAAGCAGGGAGGAAGGAAATGGAATGAGATAGTCCGACGTGGACAAAGCCCACTCGCCATTTTGCCTGCCTCCTCCTCGCTCAGCAGCCAGCCTCCTCGTCGGACTGCCTGCGCGTTGCGCCGAGCTGCCTTTCTCGCTCCTCAGACAGAGGGCATACATTTCTCCCCTTGAGGAAACTTCAGGGGCGAGCACGAAAGAATATTGTCTGTGACGACAGACCAGGCATTTGTCGATCGCAGGGCGCTATTGGATGAGGCAATGCAATGTTCCAAAACTCGTCCTACGTAGTGTACATGTAAGCGAAGCACAAGAAATAAATAGTGCCCAGCCCCAAATCACATCAAGCCGAAAATAAAAGAAGGAATTGGATCAGCCCCCACGTTGCACAGGCAGTGATCAACCTCGAAAAGAGAGAGAGAGAGAGATGCACACAAGATGCTCACGCCATCGGCGGCTCATCGGCAACGCCCAGTCGATGCACTGAACGGCCGCATTTGGGGGGGGGGGGGGAGAGGGGGGTAGTTTGGGTACCGGCGAACAGGAGAGAGGCCTTATTTCGCTCGACGTACGTGATACGTGATGGCAAACGAGGAAGGAGGAGCGGGGGCCACTGACCAGAGAGGGTCAGCTTCAACAGGGCCGACCAGAAGTGGTGAGCTCTTGTCAAGGCCGCCGGTGGGCGGCGAAGAAGCTTGCGGATCCGCCGAGTTGCGTCATGATGCAGTCCAGAGGAACAGACGCAGCGGAAGGAAGCCAAAGGAATGACGGTGGTCACGAAAAAAGACATGGCGCTCTTGGGCCCGTCGATTCGACTATCAACGATTCAAGGAAACACGGAGAGTGTGTGGCGTGTGCTGACAGCGGGTCACTTGGGAGGGGAGCGGCGCAATATGGCATGCCGTCCGTTTGCCGTCTCCCGTCTGGCGTCCGCCAGCAAGCCTCCAAGCTCAGGCCATGCGTGGCCAAGGTAGGGTAACGGCCTGGCGTGGAGGGAGGATCAATGGTTTGATGGACGCGAACAAGGAACGAAGACGGGGCAGGTTGCGTAAGACGTCGTAGTATCGGATAGGTTACACGGCGACATAACCTTTGCTCTTGAACGAAAGGGACCCGCCCAACTCGCTATACGATGGCGCGATGGTGCAGATGGTGCTCCACTGGCCAGATTCCGTATTCGTGCCTAAATAGAAACACACAAGAAAAATAGGGGGCCATCGACTTCTATGGAGATCCATGGATCCACGGATCTATGGATCCATAGGCCCACCGCGTCAGTTGTGAAGGCACCCTCGGGGCGACAAACGGTCATTTCCGCTGCCTTCGGCCTCGGCGGCGATGCGAAGAAAGGTTGATTTGATTAAGTGGTTTGATGGGCAATATTCCTTTGCCCCCAACGAAGGTTCGAGGTAGAACAAACCTTCTTGTGAAAGGGGAGGGGGGGGGGCACTTTGACTACGCGTCTTTGTGAGGATGGGATGACAAGAGTCAAGCCCACACGACCGTCTCAGTCTGGTGAAACGGGCAAACGCACGTTGGACGGGGACGCATGAAAGCCGTCATGTCAGTTCCTTTTTTTAAACTCGAGCGGGCGACGATCGGGGTGTGGACGGCACCTATGCGCTGTTCGAGCAGGTTGATGGCGGGAATGGAATCCTTTGGAACCTGGAGCCTACCTACGAAGGTGCCATAGGTAGGCAACTTGGCGGCGGCGGCTGCTGCTGCTGCTGCTGCTGCTGCCGCTAGCGGCTTCCAGGCTGGCTGACTGCTCACCACCGACAGCTGAGATGGCTGAGGTCATGGCTGACGTGCAGTTCAGCGCTGGGTCCCTGAGCCACTGGCGCGTTCCGTACCCGCTCTGGCGCAACCAGCCAAACCACAAAGCCGTGGCTACCTTACCTGCTAGGTCTGTTCAAGTGCCTCCAGAACCTTAGCATGATACCGTACCTACCTACCTAGGTGCCTAAGTAAGGTACCTACCTACCTATTCAGGATCCCACCCTGATAGAGTTCTCCTGCTAGGTATACCGCAGACACCCGAGAGGACGGAGCCCATGAACTGATACGAAAAGGCGAGACAACGCAAACTCACGCGTTATTTCGCCCAGATCAGTAAGGAGGCTCGTCAGATTGCGAGTCAATCTCGCACGTGAAGGACCCTGGAGATCATCCATGAGGATGATCATGTTTGAGGGGCCTGGTGCGAACTGGATCGAGTCGAGGTCCCCGAGAACCGTACCGTACAGAGAGGCGAGGGGCCCTGGCGCTCCGTGCTCTTCAGGGGGGCCGGGCCATGCTGCTGCCTGCTGTGGCAGGTCGAAGGCCCTGGGAGGGGGGCGAGTTTGGTGCTGATTACAGAAGGTGTTTCTGGCCCGTGGGGCTGTTT